GTGACTTCAGAGAAGTGGTGTTGAGAGACACTTGAGCTTGTGGACTCTTCCTTGCTTCAGTAACCACAAAATACTGGAATGTGTTTGTGTGTTTTAGTTGAACTATACTGAACAAAAATATAAACGCAACATGCAACAATTTAAACGATTTTAAATGAGTTTTTGTATTTTGTATTTGTATTTATTTAGGATCCCCATTAGTTGCTGCCAAGGCAGCATCTACTCTTCCTGAGGTCCAGCAAATTGAAGGCAGTTATACAATTTTAAACACATTACAATGCATTCACAACAGATTTCACAACACAACACATTAAGTGTGTGCCCTCAGGCCCCTACTCTACAGTTACAGTTCATATAAGGAAATCAGTCAATTGAAATAAATGTATTAGGCCCGAATCTATGGATTTCACATAACTGGGCAGAAGCCCAGCCATGGGTGGGCCTGGGAGGCCATAGGCCCACCCACTTGGGAGCCAGGCCCAGCCAATCAGAATGAGTTTTTCCCCACAAAAGGGCTTTATTACAGACAGAAATACTCCTCAGTTTCATCAGCTGTCCGGGTGGCTGGTCTCAGACGATCCCGCAGGTGAAGAAGCCGGATGTGGAGGTCCTGGGCTGGCGTGGTTACATGTGGTCTGCGGTTGTGAGGTCGGTTGGACGTACTGCTAAATTCTCTAAAACGACGTTGGAGGCGGCTTATGGTAGAGAAATGAACATTCAATTCTCTGGCAACAGCTCTGGTGGACATTCCTGCAGTCAGCATGCCAATTGCACACTCCCTCAAAACATGACACATCTGTGGCACTGTGTTGTGTGACAAAACTGCACATTTTAGAGTGGCCTTTTATTGTCCCCAGCACAAGGTGCACCTGTGTAATGATCATGCTGTTTAATCATCTTCTTGATATGCCACAGCTGTCAGGTGGATGGATAATCTGGATAATCTTGGCAAAGGAGAAATGCTCACTAACAGTGATGTAAACAAATTTGTGCACAACATTTTAGAGAAATAAGCTTTTTGTGCGTATGGAACATTTCTGGGATCTTTTATTTCAGCTCATGAAACATGGGACCAACACTTAACATGTTGCGTTTATATTTTTGTTCAGTATAATAACGCATTCAAATATTCCCCTTTAAGTAAGACAGTGGAACGTCTATACCTGATGTAGGGAACTGAGTCAGGTTATATGGTCAGGAAAAACTGAGGGTTACCACTAGTAATGGGTACCAAATAGTGTTCAGTGTCTCTATCAGTGGAGGCTAGCGAAGGGAGGACAGCTCATAATAATGGCTGGAACGGAGCATATGGAATGGCATCAAACACATGGATACCATTCCACGAATTCCGCTCCAGCCATTACCACGAGCCTGTCCTCCCCAACGAAGGTGCACCAACCTCCTGTGGTCTCTATGTATATATACCAGACCCTTTTATCCAAAGGCCAAAGTAATTTACAGTGAGTGCATACATTTTTAATTTGTAATCCCTGTGTGAATTAAACCCTTGCTCTTAGCACTCACGATGATGCTGACCAACTGAGCCACAAAGGAACACATATGCCCTGGCCTCACCTGGGGATGCTGGGAGGGGCCCGGTTGGGGCGGCTGGGGACCTGGGGGCTGTCAGCACTGTTGTTGAAGGGCCCCAGGGGTCCTGGGCGGTTAGGAGGGGGTGGAGCCCCTCGCCCCCCTCCGGGACTTGGGCGCTGGCCTGATGACATCCTCCTGGAACCAGTGGGGCTGGTTGGAGGAGACCTGGGGGAGGGGAGATATGGCCCTCAGTGCCCTTTCGTGTATGACATATTCTTGACATAACAGATAAAATAGACTTATTTGTGATTTCCTTTTTTTCTTTTGCAACACTATCCAAGTAATAAATAAAAATAAATAACACTCTTTTATGGGAACAGTGGAAATCAGTGCAAAACCGGGTCTCTTACTGGCCAACCCAACATCTTCACCATTATTAGAACAAGAGTTGACTCCACTATACTATACTTAGATCAATGTCTAAGGTCTATGGTAGTCCTTATCCATGGACTACCAGGATGCCTACCTGTTGCCGCCTCCACTGCGCCAGTCGTTCACGGGGGGCGGCATAGGGGTGGAGATGGTGGTGGTGGAGATGTCTCCTATGATCGCCAGAGCCTCCTTCAGGGACTGGTGGGTCCTGAGGACCTCGTCCCTCCTCTGGACCTGTTCCTGGGACTCATCCATCAGGGCACCCTGGTCCCCGGCCGAGTACAGCTGGGCCAGCAGCTCCGCGTTGATGAAGTCCTTCACCTGGTGGCAGGAGAGAGAATTGATGGATAAATCAATGAATCATTCAAATATGTTTATAAAGCCCTTATTACAGCAACGATTGTCAGCTAGTGCTTTACAGTAATCCGGCCTGTTTGATTTACCAGTGCAGAAAGTCTGGAACCAATAGGACCCTGAACAGTTTCTACTTCTAAGCCATAAGACTGCTAAACAAGACTGTTAAATAGCTAATCAAATGGCTACCTGGACTATCTGCATTAACTCACTTTACCCCTATCTATATGTACATAGGTACCTCAATTACCTCGTACCCCTGCACATCGACTCGATACTGGTACTCCCTGTATATAGCTATGTTATTACCTTGTACCCCTGCACATCGACTCGGTACTGGTACTCCCTATATATATATATAGCCATGTTATTACCTCGTACCCCTGCACATCAACTCGGTACTGGTACACCCTGTATATAGCCATGTTATTACCTCGTACCCCTGCGCATCAACTCGGTATTTGGTACTCCCTGTATATAGCCACGTTATTACCTCGTACCCCTGCACATCGACTCGGTACTGGTACTCCCTGTATATAGCCATGTTATTACCTCGTACCCCTGAACATCGACTCGGTACTGGTACTCCCTGTATATAGCCATGTTATTACCTCATACCCCTGCACATCGACTCAGTATTGGTAGTCCCTGTATATAGCCATGTTATTACTTGGTACTCTCTGTATATAGCCATGTTATTACCTGGTACTCCCTGTATATAGCCATGTTATTACCTGGTACTCCCTATATATAGCCATGTTATTACCTGATACTTCCTGTATATAGCCATGTTATTACCTGGTACTTCCTGTATATAGCCATGTTATTACCTGGTACTTCCTGTATATAGCCATGTTATTACCTGGTACTCCCTGTATATAGCCATGTTATGACCTGGTACTCCCTGTACATAGCCATGTTATTACCTGGTACTTCCTGTATATAGCCATTTTATTACCTGGTACCTCCTGTATATAGCCATGTTATTACCTGGTACTCCCTGTACATAGCCATGTTATTACCTGGTACTCCCTGTATATAGCCATGTTATTACCTGGTACTCCCTGTATATAGCCATGTTATTACCTGGTACTTCCTGTATATAGCCATGTTATTACCTGGTACTCCCTGTATATAGCCATGTTATTACCTGGTACTCCCTGTATATAGCCATGTTATTTTTACTCTATATTGTTTTTATCTTTATCTTTAACTTTGCATTGTTGGAAAAGGACCCATAAGTAAGCATTTCACTGTCACAGTCTACACCTGTTGTTTATGTGACAAATAAAATGTGATTACATTTTTTATTGATTTGATTTGATTTAGCTTGCCTGGCACAAAGAAACCAATAGAAAAATCTAAAACGTTGCACACCAGTCAGGCTCAAGCTAACGCTGAAGTTATTTTAAAGATTTCAACTACCATTTGAACCCAGGTCTGATAGAGGTCCCTTACATTGCTGATCATGAGGTGCATAATGGTCTTGGGCATGAGGTCGCGGATGCACTTGTTGACGATGGCCATGTAGGAGTCGACCAGGTTGCGGATGGTTTCCACTTTCCGCTCCAGCTGAGGGTCCATGGAAAAGTTGTCCTGGGATGAGGACGAGGAGCCGCCACCCTCACTCTCCACCTGGAGGAAGAGGGCTTTTAGTTTTAACACCCGTGTATTTAGCAATACAGAGCTAGTGGCTTGCATCTTTAGATGCAGAAAACTTGTGTATATCAATGACAAATAATAATAATAATAACTTTATTTTCATTACACACAGAAATCACAAAGCTCTGTACATCAAAGGCTTTTAAAAAGGGCTAAAATCTGTTAGCAAAAATGAGTCACTAGAACGAGTAGCATATCAACAAGATGTAGCCTACAGCTATTGTGACTAGTCATCTTCACACTTACATCAATCTTCAGGGAGAAAGATCGAGAGGATGGAGAGATTCAAGTGATATGATGAGTCACTTGGGAAGTGATAGGACAGATATGACTTTTTTAAATTGTAAAAACATACACTGGATTATACATCCAAAATGCATATTTAGCAAAGTACATAACCATGCAAGCACACAGGTTTAAGAAAAATGTATAAATAATAAGGATAGATATGACATAACAGAAGAGCAACATGGGAAGGGAGTGAGGGGTAGTCATGGGTAATACGGAACAGGACAAACAGGGCAGATGTGGTGGACAGGATTTACAGTGAGTCAGTGACTAATATGGGGTGATGCCACAGGGTGGTGGGCACCAAGGTCGGGGTCAATTCCATTTAGATTCAGCCAATTCGGTTCACTTCATGAATAGACTGAATGGAAATGGAATTGTCCCCAACCCTGGTGGCCCGTGCAGTAGTCACTCACATTAGAAGATCTTTCGGGGTAGACTCCAGCGCGCAGGAGAGAAGCCCTCCAACTGTCCACCTCATCCTGAGTGTCACAGGCCAGCTCCAGGAAACGGTTGTCCTTGTACACATTCCTGTTGGACCACAACACAGGGGAGGGGAGGAGGAAGTTAGTTACACTGACCTTAGGGGTCAAGGCAGGGGTGGCAGGCCCATCTAGTTAAATAAAGCCTAGGAAGAGAAGAAGCCCACCAGACTCTTGGGTTTCTGTCTTCCTGTACAATCTGTATTATTATTATTAGAAGTAGTGGTACTAAAGTAGGAATATTTAAAGTAAAAGTACACTCTTAGAAAAAAAGGTGCCATCTAGAACCTAAAAGGGTTATTCGGCTGTCCCCATAGGTGAACCCTTTGAATAACCATTTTTGGTTCCAGGTAGAACCCTTATGGGTTTCACAGAGGGTTCTACCTGGAAACAAACAGGGTTCTACATGGAACCAAAAAGGGTCCCCTATGGGCACAGCCGAAGAACCCTTTTGGAACCCTTTTTTTGAAGAGTGTAGCGCTACAATATTAAAAGTAACTTTATTAGGATGTGTCTGTCTGGTTCCAAACCTCTGCTCTGTGTTGAAGATGGCGAAGGCGTGCTTGCTGGACATAAAGCCTTTTTCCACGTCGCGCACCTTCAGGTTGTCCAGAGGGAGCATGTATTTCTTCTCCTTCTCCTGAGAAACACAAACAGAAAGGAAGAAACCATCAGGTTTGACAATGTAAACAAGCAAATGCAAAGAACCATGCCAGGGAAATGCATACTTCTTTTCTGATTGCTGTCTGATCTCTGTGTGTCAAATTATGTATATTTTTCAGTTAGATTTGTAATCAAGAGGTTTGGCTTAGTTGGGCGATGATCCAGGGAGAAAGAGAGAGAAGGGGAATGTGGAGACAAGGGTAAGGAGAGGAGGAAGTTATGGGGAGTGCAGGGGAGAGGAGAGAGGGTGGGGGAGCACAGAGGGGGAGATAAAGGGGAGCTGGAAGAAGGGAGGAAGAATGAGAGTGGGAGGTAGAGCGGGGGAGGAGTGGGAGGGTGAGAGAGAGAAAGAGAAAGAGAGAGAGCCTACATGTGGAAGTCATTAGTGTGTTGGTCAAGACACAGTCGTTCTCCACGGTATGTTTGTAAAGGAGGGGGAGCTGGGGCTGGAGGAAACCTTCTGGCTATGGGAAGGGGAGCTGGGGCTGGAGGAAACCTTCTGGCTATGGGAGGGGGAGCTGGGGCTGGGGAAGGAACTTTGGCTATGGGGAGGGGGGAAGCTGGGCTGGAGGAAACCTTCTGGCTACGGAAGGGGGAGCTGGGGCTGGAGGAAACCTTCTGGCTATGGGAGGGGGAGCTGGGGCTGGAGGAAACCTTCTGGCTATGGGAAGGGGGGAGCTGGGGCTGGAGGAAACCTTCTGGCTATGGGAGGGGGAGTGGGGGAGGAAACCTCGGCTAGGAGGGAGCTGGGGCTGGAGGATACATTCTGGCTACAGGAGGGTTGGCTGAAGCTGGAGGAAACCTTCTGGTTACGGAAGGGGGAGCTGGGGCTGGAGGAAACCTTGGGATACGGAAAGACAGATTTTGAGAAATACAGGGGATTCGGGGGACTCTCTGCAGTGTGCATGTGAACACATGGACGTCAGAAGAAGCAGAGGGCTGCTTGTTTTAAAGGTGGGTGCAACGAGTCAAGATGGAGAGTAAAAAGGAATGGAAAAGGCCAGCACACACCACCAGCCAAAGGAAAGAGCACCAGGAAGAAAAAGGCACAAGGAGAACAGGGAGACGAGAGGAGGAGGAGAGAGACGAGAGAGAGAGAGCGAGTCTAGACGAGAGGAGAGAGAGAGTACTGCAGGCTCATCGGCCATCAAGAGAGCTCTCTCTACTCTCTCTCTCTCTCTCTCTCTCTCTCTCTTCTCTATTAACCCTCCCCTCTTATTTCTTCAATATTTTTTCCTTCCATTCCAGAGGGGCCCACTTCCTGCCTGATTTGTCGGGTAGCGAGAGGAGAGAGGGGATAGAGAGAGAGATGGAGAGAAGGAGAGAGGAGAGGGAGATAAATGAAGCCGAGTTAGGAGAACTTGTAAAGAAAGGAAGGAGCAGGAGGAGAAATGACAGCGGGTGAGGATAAGCAGGGAACGGAGGAAGGAGAGAGGAGAGAAGGAGGGAAGGGAGGGAAGGAGAGAAAGGAGAGGAGGGAAAGGAAGGGGAAGGACGAGGAGGAAGGAGGGAAGGAGGAAGGAGGGAAGGAGAGAAGGAGAGAAGGAGAGAAGAGGGAAGTAGGAGGAAAGGAGGGAAGGAGGAAATGGAAGAGAGAAGGAGAGAAGGAGAGAAGGAGGGAAGGGAAGAACTTCCAGAGTGAAGTTAAGAAAGAGAGGGAGACCTGAAGAAGAAACAAAACAAAGGATTTAGAAAAGTGGTACAACAGAGGTGCCCAGATCTGACCCCCTGCAGAGCGATGGTAGGGTATTACTAGACAAAATAAGGGGAGTAGAAAACAAGAAATGAAAAATACACTTTGCAGACCTCTCTAGGTTGTATTCCCCAAGGGGTCACTCCAACCCATATATGGCCACATGGGTCCCACCCTCTTCCTCCATCTCTCTCACTCTATTTCCCTCCCTTTCTCTTTCCCTCTCTCTTTTTCGTAATATCCCCTCCCTGAGTGCTCAGCCAGTCTGTCCCGGTCGGTCATCTGAGTGAATGTGCCACGTCAAGCCTGGATACTTTGCCTGGCATGGCCCAAACGGACCGCGAGGGGAGCGACACACAAAAACACAATAAACAAACAACCAAACGACAGAGAGGGGGAGAAGAGGCGACGCAGACGGGTGAAAAGAAAACAGTGGTTATGGGGGTTCGGGAGGGAGATCACTACCGCTTGATGCCAAAATGGAGGAGGATGAGGGAGGAAGGCAAAGAGCAGCGACCATGCAGCCCTACTGCCTATGGAATGGCAGAGAGTCAGTGTCTGAGGGGCCTGACACTCTGAGTCTGTCTGTCCGGCTCCGTCCTCCCAGTGTTCAGACTACCTGTTCATTGTCATACTGGTGTACAGTAGTCTGCACATTGGTTAGACTGGGCAGGGAAGCACTTCTCTTCTCTTTGTGGAAACATTGGCTTTCAAGGAGTGGGTTTGATTAGCCACACTCCACCATCGACCATCTTCCAATACTGATTGCTCGTCTCTATGATTAGTCCTCTTTATTCTGTGTGTGTTGGGTATCGGTTCTCACTAGGTCATCCTAGTTGTACTTTGTGACTGTTCTAACTGCATTTTTAAGACTTATTTTATTTATGCAACACATTTTTTTTTTCATAGTCAGGTCTAGACCAATGTGTTGTTATGTCCTTGGAACAGTCTTTCTGCTAAATGTACAGTACAACAGCAATAGAAATGTGTAGGCTCCTTTGCACAAAGAATTCAGCCCTGATTGGCTCTGGTGCAGTAGAGGGAGGAGCAGCAGCGGCTCCATAGAATCAGACACAGAACAGTGGTCAATCCATCCATTAACTCCTGCTTCAAATACAAACACATACTTCTAGTATTTCATTGGTGTTGGGTTGGGCGGTTACAGTAACTATGTTGCCTAAATATACAGTCAAACTCATAAAGATAAATATAATACTATAGAATTTAATTCTGTGATGAAACTATTGTGTGGAAGATGATCTTCATAATGCCCAGTGTGTGCAAGCAGCAATCAGCTAATAATATGATTTCACTGATGATATAATAAAGCAACTAGGGGAGAGGCCTTGTGGTTTGGTAGTAGAGAGGATGTATAGGAATCAGTGGTTTTGTTGGGGTAAAGTACCGTATTAGGGGTTGTATACTGTATAGGGATTGGAATTAGTGATGGGTGTAGTATGCTTGCTAGGATTAGCAATGGTGTTGGGAATGCTTTTACTGTACTATTAGGGTGGTATTTTAGAGGCTGTGGGTCGGTATTGCTGATAGATGGTTTGGATAATGAAGGGGTATTAGGTTCAGAAACAGAGAGGGAGGAATATTGTAATTTAATAGGGGATTTCTCCCCACTGAATCATTGGAGGCTGATGTTTGGATTAAAAACTTGCCAAGAATGTGTGCTGTTCCAGAGAAACTGCCAACTGCACCAAGAAAGAGAGGGGGGGGGGGAGCTAGAGAGTGTGTGTGTGTCAAATCAAAATCTAATCAAGTGTGTGTGTGTGTGTGTGTGTGTGTGTGTGTGTTTGTAGAATAAATATATAGTAAAACGCACAAGAAAAAGTAAAGAAATGCTTGGTTGAATGTCAGAACTGCTTGAGAGTCAATGCAACATGAGACATGTCTACGATCCATCCAGTTAAAGTCTAGACGTATTAATCATCAAATAATGCCTTTTAAAGCCAACACATAACCGTTTGTGTGTAGATGTGTGTGTTTGTATAGGTGTGTGAGTATGTGTGACCAGTGGTTTGATTTGGGATTGTTCCAATTGTGCAAAAGAAAACCAAATGCCTTAACTCCCAGCGGAGTTAAAGAGAGAGGTGGAGAGAGAGAAAGAGAGACAGAAAGAAAAGATGGGGAAAAGTCAAAAACAGAAAGAGAGAGCGGGAAGAGGATATAAAATACTTTTGAGTCCTGTCCAGTGAATATTGCTGTGTATCGACCACATACTGTATATAGAGATGATTAAACTATGTGGACTGCTTGTGATCCTATCAACTATGACCTATGTGATGTCATCTGCTGACCAGTGCATGGATTGGCTGACTCCGGGAGTTGCCGTGTGTCTGCCTGTCTACACTTGCTGTGCAGAACTTCCTGGAACCTGTACAGCAGGCACAGACAGGCAGACAGACACCAGCCCACCAAGCTATGATGGACGCAACATCCAGCCAATCAAGGAGCACCCTGCATCTCAAGGGGAGGGGAAACACCACTAAAGAGCCAATGGGGAACGACCATTGAGTTGTGATTCAGTGGGAAGTCAGAAGGTATGGTTTATAATATGTCCTCTACATAGATATCAAACAAAAGAGACTCTTATGACATTGGAATTCAAATATGTATATTCTACCATTTGTTTACCCTGCCCTCCCTTCTGCCAGACATTAACCAGACAGGAGGGCTGTATTTGAGGGGAAATAGTGTTCCAATCTATCATCACCAGAAATCTAGCCATAAACTGCATCAAACTTACTGTGACTGACTACTGTACTAACCCACCCTGAAGAGGGTTGACTAACTCACCTCATCATCCTTGAACCAGGACAGGCTCTCAGCAGTCAGGACAAACCAGTACTCCTTGGCCCCACCTTTAATGATGCTGATGTTGTTGATGGTCAGCCAGCCCTTACGGATGACCTGTAGAGAGAGCAGGGGGCAGAGGTTAGAGGTCAGGGGATGAGAGATGGGGCCATAGTGGCGGTGGGTGTTGTGATTGCCAGGAAGAAAGGTATGACAGGTTTAAAGGCACTGAACAGTTGTCACGTCCACACAGAAGCTTCACGTACTGTACCCCATCCTCCATTGATTACTTCAATCACATTCTGTCAAACCTGGCTTGCTAGGTTACTATACATAACCAAATCAATTTGTGCACAAATGTGATGTATGAATAATAAAATGCAATGAGAAAGTGTGTTGTGTGAGAACTCCAAGTTAATCGATTGTGTCAGTGTGTATCTTTGTGACTCAACCAGACCACAACTTGTGACTTAGTTCCTTTCGGTGACAGTCTCCTGGCACAACAAGGCACTAGGGTGACAGTCACAAACACAGGTCTGTGTCACAGTGTTAAGAAGTGGCTGTTGGGTTATTAGTGCTTCATTACATCCCCAAAACACACAATATTAGCATTATAGCATTAGTGCTACATCAGTGTTCATTGTGTTAAGTGTGTTAGCCAGCAGACACAACAAGCCAGAGGATTGAGTGATTATTAAGTTAGGTGTCTCGGACAGCATAGAACCACTAAGGGGGTTACCCAAAAAGTATATTTATAAAGTCTTATTTTTTTTCAGTCCTGGCACGAATCAAATATTTTTTAAACACAATTTGTATTGGGAGGCTGATTGTGACAGGTAACCCCCTGTGGTCAAAGGGATGAGGGAGTGTCGTAATGTAAACTGTTGCTCTTACAATCAGGCCTGAGGCGGGAGGAGAGGAGGCCTGAAACAGGAAGGAACTGGGCCGTTAAAACACCATTACATAGGTACCATGTCTGGATACAACCTCACGACTGGAACCTGCCACACCTGGCTCAAATACATCAAGGCAAATACATTCTAATACTTGAGGTGTGGTTGATTTACTTTGAGTTTGTACTTTTGGGACTATTCCATTGGTTCCATTGTACAGCAGGCAAACTAAATCAATGCAGATCAAGTATTTAAAAGTATTTGACATATGTATTTTCCATAGCAGTTGAGTGGGTTCAAGTAAACTTACCTTGGCTTAAGCTAGAGATGTGGAAAAAGCTATAAACAGCAGAACACTCAAAGTGGCCACAAGAGGGAGCCACACTCAATGGTCAGTAGAGTAGAGTAAGTATTATTTATATATTTTTTGGTATTTTATTAGGATCCCCATTAGCTACTGCTAAAGCAGGCAGCAGGCAAAGCCCAACCCTAACCCCAACGAGTGATACTCACCAACTAGACCAAACACACCCAAAACAGGGCAGCTCAGATTCTCACTAAGGGCTTGGGATGAAATGCATGGGGGCACCTTGATGATATAGAAGGGGTTCAAACACAGTAATGATGGTCAATAGAATGTAAAAACATCCATTTGGTTTGTACACACTGACATAATAATAAGTGTCACCATCCAACTGAAAAATACACACACAGGCTATCGAAAGCTCCCCCAAAATCAACATGAAATGCAAAAAAAATGCGACACACAGGTAATAATGGATGTATAATGTACTGGAGTATACATACCGTGTGTGTACAAATGAATGATAAATAAAGAAACCAATAAGAGAGTCTGTGTCCCTACGGTCCTTCCTCCTCTATTGGCTGCAACCCACTGTGTGAGCCAGGCCACCATTGACCCTTTGCCCAAGTGTGTGTGTGTGTGTGTGTGTGTGTGTGTGTGTGTGTGTGTGTGTGTGTGTGTGTGTGTGTGTGTGTGTGTGTGTGTGTGTGTGTGTGTGTGTGTGTGTGTGTATGTGTGTGTGTGTGTGTGTGTGTGTGTGTGTGGTATTTCAGAGCCTCCTCTATGTCTCACCTGGCTGACCTGGCTTGCAGCATTACTCTGCTTGTTACTCTGCTTGCTGCTTTGCTGTGCACTATGGAGGAGAGACAGAGAGAGACAGCAGAGAGACAGAGAGAGACAGCAGAGATACAGAGAGAGACAGCCGAGGGACAGAGAGAGACAGCAGAGAGACAGCAGAGAGACAGAAAGAGACAGCAGAGATACAGAGAGAGATAGCAGATATACAGCAGAGAGACAGCAGAGAGACAGAAGACAGCAGAGAGACAGCAGAGAGACAGAGAGAGACAGAAGAGAGACAACAGAGAGACAGAGAGAGACAGCAGAGAGACAGAGACAGCAGAGAGACAGCAAGAGACAGCAGAGAGAACAAACAGGGAGAGACAGAGAGAGACAGCAGAGAGAGAGGAGGCAGCAAGAGAGACAGAGAGAGACAGCAGAGAGACGCAGAGAAGAGAGAGACAGAGAGAGAAGCAGAGACAGAGAGGACAGAAGAGAACAGAAGAGATACAGAGAGTAAAGAGATACAGAGAGACAGCAGAGAGACAGAGAGAGACAGCAGAGAGACAGAGAGAGACAGCAGAGAGACAGCAGAGAGACAGCAGAGAGACAGCAGAGAGACAGAGAGAGACAGAGAGAGGAACAGCAGAGAGACAGCAGAGAGACAGAGAGAGACAGAGAGAGACAGCAGAGAGACAGCAGAGAGACATAGAGAGACAGAGAGAGATAGAACCAGCATGAGAGACAGCAGAGAGACCAGCGGAGAGAAAAGCAGAGAGACAACAGCGACACGCAAGAGAGACAGCAGATGAGAGCAGAATATAGCACAGATTAGTAGACAGCAGAGAGACCCGCAGAGAGGACAGGAATATAGCCAGAGAGAGACATTAGAGAGACAGCAGAGACTAGAGTGAGGACAGAGAGAGACCAGCAGAGAGACAGCGAGAGACAGAGAAGAGACAGAGAGAGACAGCAGAGATGACATGCATGAGAGACATAGAGAGACGAGATAGAGATAGACAGCACTAGAGACAGCACGAGAGACAGGCGGAGATAAAGCATGAGAGACAACAAGCGACACAGAGAGAGGCACAAGGAGAGACAGAATATAGCCAGATAGAGACAGCAGAGAGACAGCAGAGAGACAGAATATAGCCAGAGAGAGACATTAGAGAGACAGCAGAGACAGAGTGAGACAGAGAGAGACAGCAGAGAGACAGAAGAGAGACAGAGAGAGACAGAGAGGGAGGAGAGAGAGAGAGAGAGAGAGAGAGAGAGACAGAGAGAGAGAGACAGCAGAGAGACAGCAGAGAGACATCAGAGAGAGACAGCAGAGAGACAGCAGAGAGACAGAGAGGGACAGAGAGACAGAGACAGCAGAGAGACAGCAGAGACAGAGAGAGACAAGCAGAGAGACAGCAGAGAGACAGCAGAGAGACAGAGAGAGACAGCAGAGAGACAGCGAGAGACAGCAGAGAGACAGAGAGAGACAGCAGAGAGACAGCAGAGAGACACAGAGAGACAGCAGAGAGACAGAGAGATACAGCAGCGATACAGCAGAGAGACAGCAGAGAGACAGAGAGAGACAGAGAGAGAGATACAGCAGAGAGACAGCAGAGAGACAGCAGAGAGAAAGCAGTGAGACAACAGAGACAGCAGAGAGACAGCAGAGAGACAGCAGATAGACAGAATATAGCCAGAGAGAGACAGCAGAGAGACACAGAGAGACAGCAGAGAGACAGAGAGAGACAGAGAGAGACAGCAGAGATACAGAGAGAGACAGAGGCAGAGAGACAGCAGAGAGACAGCAGAGAGACAGAGAGAGGACAGGAGAGATAACAGCGAGAAGACAGCAGAGAGACATAGAACGAACAGCAGAGATAGACAGCAGAGAGGACCCAGAGAGACCGATAGACAGCAGAGAGACAGCAGAGACAGCAGAGACAGCAGAGAGAGAATAGCAGATAAAAAGCACAGAGAGACAAATAACCAGAGGACAGTTAGAGAGACAGCAGAGAGACAGATATGAGCCAGATAGAGACAGCCAGAGACCAGAGAGACTGAGACAGAGAGGGAGAGGAAGAGAATAAGCCAGAGAGAGTAGAGACATGAGAGACATCGAGAGACAGCAGAGAGACAGCAGAGAGACAGAGAGAGACAAGAGACGAGAAGCAGAGAAGCGAGAGAGAGAGACAGAGAGAGACAGCAAGAGCAGCAGAGAGACAGCAGAGAGACAGCAGAGAGACAGCAGAGAGACAGCAGAGAGACAAGAAGACACAGAGACAGCAGAGGACAGAGAGACAGCAGAGAGACAGAGAGACAGCAGCGATACACGAGAGACAGCAGAGAGACAGAGAGACAGAGAGAGGTACAGAGAGAGACAGCAGAGAGACAGCAGAGAGAAAGCAGTGAGACACAAGAGACAGCAGAGAGACAGCGAGAGACAGCAGATAACAGAATAGCCAGAGAGAGACAGCAGAGAGACACCGCAGCAGAGAGACACGAGAGAGACAGAGAGAGACAGAGAGATACAGAAGAGACATAGGCAGAGAGACAGCAGAGAGACAGCAGAGAGAAGCGAGACAACAGAGAGACAGCAGAGAGACAGAATAACAATTAGCCAGAGAGAGACATAGAGAAACAGAGAGACAGCAGAGACAGAATAAGCCAGTAGAAAGCAAGAGACAGCAGAGAGACAGCAGAGCGACAGCAGAGACAGAGAGAACGCAGCAGAGAGACAGCAGAGAGACAGCAGAGAGACAGAGAGAGTGAGAGAGAGACAGCAGAGAGACAGCAGAGACAGAGAGAGACAGAGCAGAGAGCGAAGGAGAGAGACAGAGAGAGACGATAAGCAAGAGAGACAGACAGAGAGACAGCAGGAGAGACAAGATAGAAGAACAAGCAGAGAGACAGAGAGAGACAGAAAGACAGATAGAACAGAATATAGCAAGGAGAGACAGAAACAGAGAGCAGCATGTAGAGAGCAGGACAGAGGACCAGCAGAGACCCAGAGAGTACAGCAGAGAGACAGAGAAGAAAGGAGGCAGAGAGAGCAGAGCAGAGGAAAGCAAGAGACAGCAAGTCAGGAGCAGAGGAGACGAGAGGAAGAAGGAGACGCAGAGAGGACAGAGAGAGACAGAAAGAAATAGATAGGAGGTTAGCACAGGAGAAAGGAAAACAGAGGGAGAGTTCTGTTAAAGTATTGTCTGCAGGTATTCAGTATCCATTTCCAACCCTCCCACCCCCTACCCCCATCTCCACTATGTAATGAAAATAGCAGGCCATTAAAGGCAGGCCTGTTCAGTCATTTACTTAGCAAAGCCTATGAAGTCCTCATGGTTAGTGTTGATGTACGAGAGCTGGACATCGATCAGCAGCAACACCTGCAATTGGAGACAGAATGATTTGGTCAACAATACATGGAAGCTTCATTTACAGTGTAGTATTACTAGCCCCTGGGTCAATAAGTCTACTGTATTCATTATCATGTGTATTTGTACTGTGTGTGTGTGTGTGTGTGTGTGTGTGTGTGTGTGTGTGTGTGTGTGTGTGTGTGTGTGTGTGTGTGCACATGTGTGTGTGTGTGTGTGTGTGTGTGTGAGATACGTATGTGTTACCTGGTCCTTGGCCCTGCTCTCTCTGTCTCTGATGTGTGAGGTCACAATTCTCTCGGTTTCCTCACGCAGTCTGGGGAAGCAATCCAGCTAAAAACACACACACACAAACAGACACCGATACACACACCACACAACCTTTTACAGTGCATCCTAGCGAACATCATAATGAGGCTTGACTTAACTAAAAGGTTACCTTGTTAGTGCATTGACGCACGGTGTTGATCAGCTCCTGAATGACCATGTCCACACACTTGATACATGGCTCCTTGATCTTCACTATCTGCTTCTTCACAATAGCCTCAAACGCCATGTCTGGAGTGAACAGGCCCGTCCTGCAGGCGCACCGAGAGAGGAGAGAGAGAGAGAGAGAGAGAGAGAGAGAGAGAGAGGAGAGAGAGAGAGAGAGAGAGAGATGAGAGAGGGAGAGAGAGAGAGAGAGGAAGAGAGAGGAGAGAGAGAGTGGGGGTAGGAAAAGAGGGGGGGGGAGGAAGAAGAGGAAGGGGGTGAGAGAGGGGGAGGTTTGGGGGTATAAAATTTAAAAAATAAAATAAAAAATAAAATCACCCACTGATCCCGGGTTTTTCTTGATCCAATTTTCCCCCGGCGATCCCGAAAAGGGAGAGAGAAGAGAGAGAGAGAAGGGAGAGAGAGAGAGGGGAGAGGGGAGAGAGAGGAGGAGAGAGAGAGAAAAGAGAGAGAGAGAGAGAGAGAGAAAAAGGGAGAGAGAGAAAAGGGGAGATTTGAGGAGTTGAGATTGAGATTGAGATTGAGATTGAGATTGAGAATGAGAATGAGAGACAGTTTTTCAGGCTATCACTCCCAGGAACAAGATGTGCATCAGCCTAGCTATCTAACCTTGACCAGTTCGAAGGGGAATCTCTCGTGGAAGATGCGGTTGATCTTGGCTCCACCAGAGAGCTCTACAGTATCCACCTGGTCCCCAGAGCCCTCGATACGCTTTTCAAAGTCCACTGAGAACTGCTGCACCATCCTACACACACACACACACAATTTAAATTGGAATTTCAGTTGATTTACTGAATTGACTGAATTAAAACGCAATTGACCCTAACCCTGATTGTGAGTGTGGAACTTCTGTTTTTCTGATGGACTCACTGCAGCAGTTGCTTGGTCTTGCGTCCCGGGTCATCAGGGCGGTATCCCCGGTACTCCTCGGCCTCCTTATCGAGAGACAGTAGCTGGGTCTGCAGCTTGCTACGGAACGCCGGCAGCGTGTCACGGATGTGGTTGGTCAATTGCTATGGCAACACAACACAAAAATTACCCTAAATATAACGTCGCTAAGCAAGCCTATTATGCTGGGCTTTGGGAGGATTAGCAAGGACGTAATAACCTGTAGGAGAAACTCAGTTACTGTTCATAACCTGGTCAGTCTGCAGTCTGTTAGTTAGCCTACCTGGTTGAGGACTTTCTGCAGGCACGGGGTGCCCATCTTTTCGGCCATGTGTCTGTAGGCCGGGTGAGTGAGGAAGAACTTCCTCTCAGCAGCCATAGCCATCTTGATGTCCTTCTTCCCATCAATGTCCTTCTGACTGCGGTTTACCACACCAATATAGCCTGGCAACACACACAGATTGACAGGGTGAAACCACTCCAATATAGCCTGGCAACACACACAGATGGACAGGGTGAAGGCTCACTTCAAATCACCGGTCAACACACAATGGACAGGGTTGAACCACTCCAATATAGCCTTGGCAACACACACAGATTGGACAGGGTGAAACCACTTCCATATAGCCCTGGCAACAACCACAGACGGACAGGGTGAAACCACTTCAATATAACCTGGCAACACACACAGACGGAAAGGGTGAAAACACTTCAATATAACCTGGCAACACACACAGACGGACAGGGTGAAACCACTTCAATATAACCTGGCAACACACACAGACGGACAGGGTGAAACCACTTCAATAGTGGTCCTCTGTAGCTCAATTGGTAGAGCATGGCGCTTGTAAAGCCAGGGTAGTGGGTTCGATCCCCGGGACCACCCATACGTAAAAATGTATGCACACATGACTGTAAGTCGCTTTGGATAAAAGCGTCTGCTAAATGGCATATTATTATTATTATTATTATTATAATATAACCTGGCAACACGCAGATGGACAGGGTGAAACCACTTCAATATAACCTGGCAACACGCAGATGGACAGGGTGAAACCACTTCAATATAACCTGGCAACACGCAGATTGACAGGGTGAAACCACTCCAATATAACCTGGCAACACACAGATGGACAGGGTGAAACCACTCCAATATAACCTGGCAACACACAGACGGACAGGGTGAAACCACTCCAATATAACCTGGCAACACACAGACGGACAGGGTGAAACCACTTCAAAAAACCTGGCAACACACAGATGGACAGGGTGAAACCACTCCAATATAACCTGGCAACACACAGATGGACAGGCTGAAACCACTCCAATATAACCTGGCAACACACAGATGGACAGGGTGAAACCACTCCAATATAACCTGGCAACACACAGATGGACAGGGTGAAACCACTCCAATATAACCTGGCAACACACAGATGGACAGGGTGAAACCACTCCAATATAACCTGGCAACACACACAGACAGACGGGATGATGGAAAAGACATGACTGAGAACACAAGAAAATGGGACCAAAATGTAAGGCGAGTGCAGAGGATAGAACAGAAAAGCTGATACCAAAGGTGACTGAAGTAGATCGGTGGACATAGAAATGGAGAAAGAGGGACAAAGAAAAAGAGAGATTGGTAGAAAGAGAGCGAAAGAGTGAGTAAGAGACAGAGAGACAGAGATGTCCCACCTCTCCTTAGGGGCAGCAGTTTGTTCTCCAGGACCTCCCTGGCGTCTGTTCCCTCATCCATCAGGTCCAGCTTGGTGATCACTCCTATGGTCCGCTGGCCTGGGGTCAGAGGTCAAAGGGTAAGGGGCCAAGCCAGAAGAAGTCAGTCACAACACAAAGGCCACGTTCATGGCTGACTTCATTGCAGATGCCTGCGAGATCTCACAACGCCTGGATAGGTGTTTAAAATATCAGCTAACCCCATAATATGATATAGCAATCTGATCAACATCTTACCCTGGGGGTCAACATCTTTGGCCAGTTTGAGGGCGTCTGAGTTGGCCAGGTCAGAGTTGGCTGGGGTGACAGCGAGGATGAGACAGCTCTCCCTACAGATGAACTGCATGATCATGTCTCTGATCTGCTGCTCAATGTCCACCGGCTGGTCCCCCACTGGCACCTTGGTGATACCTGGCAGGTCGATCAGGGTCAGGTTCAGCACTACAGGCAGGGGGAAAGGAGAGAGGAGGACCCATCTTATAGTGAATATCACCGAACACACAGTAGAGAGGGAGAGCACAGAGATATAATTGAGAGGGAGAGAGAGAGAGAGAGAGAGAGAGAGAGAGAGAGAGAGAGAGAGAGAGAGAGAGAGAGAGAGAGAGAGAGAGAGAGAGAGAGAGAGCAAATGAGGGGGAGGGAGAGAAAGTAAGAGAGGGGAAGAGGGTAGATGAGGGGTTATGTATGTCTACCATGTGGGGAGTAGACGCGCAGGTTGATGGGGACGGGAGAGATGCCCTTATTGGCCCCAGTAATGCGGTCAGTCTCCGCCTCAATCTCTTGGCGAACCTCATCGAAGTCTGTGAATTTCTTCCCTTTGCAGTGTAAGAACTCTGCCCATTCTGTGAAGATAGATGCAGATAGGTGTGTGTGTGTGTGTGTGTATTTGTGTGTGTGTGTGTGTATGTATGTACAGTACCAGTCAGAAGTTTGGACACACCTACTCATTCAAGGGTTTTTCATTATTTTTTACTATTTTCTACATTGTAGAATAATAGTGAAGACATCAAAACTATGAAATAACACATATGTAATCATGTAGTAACCAAAAAAGTGTTAAACAAATCAAAATATATTTTATATTTGAGATTCTTCAAATAGCCACCCTTTGCCTTGATGACAGCTTTGCACAATCTTGGCATTCTCTCAACCAGCTTCATGAGTTAGTCACCTGGAATGCATTTCAATTAACAGGTGTGCCTTCTTAAAAGTTAATTTATGGAATTGATTTCCTTCTTAATGCGTTTGAGCCAATTAGTTGTGTTGTGACAAGTAGGGAGGGGGGGGTTATACAGAAGATAGCCCTATTTGGTAAAAGACCAAGTCCATATTATGGCAAGAACAGCTCAATTAAGCTAAGAGAAACGAGAGTCCATCATTACTTTAAGACATGAAGGTCAGTCAATACGGAACATTTCAAGAACATTGAAAGTTTCTTCAAGTGCAGTCGCAAAAACCATCAAGTGCTATGATGAAACTGGCTCTCATGAGGACTGCCACAGGAAAGGAAGACCCAGAGTTACCTCTGCTGCAGAGGATAAGTTAATTAGAGTTACCAGCCTCAGAAATGGCAGCCCAAATAAATGCTTCACAGAGTTCAAGTAACAGACACATCTCAACATCAACTGTTCAGAGGGGACTGTGTGAATCAGGCCTTCATGGTCAAATTGTTGCAAAGAAACCACTACTAAAGGACACCAATAAGAAGAAGAGACCTGCTTGTCATTAGACTGGTGGAAATGTGTCCTTTGGTCTGAAGTCCAAATGTGAGATTTTTGGTTCAAACCGCTGTGTCTTTGTGAGACGCGGTGTGGGTGAATGGATGATCTCCGCATGTGTATTTCCCACCGTAAAGCATGGAGGAGGAGGTGTTATGGTGTGGGGGTGCTTTGCTGGTGACACTGTCTGGGATTTATTTAGAATTCAAGGCACACTTAACCAGCATGGCTACCACAGCATTCTGCAGTGAATGGGCTTAGTGGGACTATCATTTGTTTTTCAATAGGACAATGACCCAACACACCTCCAGGCTGTGTAAGGGCTATTTTACCAAGAAGGAGAGTGATGGAGTGCTGCATCAGATGACCTGGCCTCCACAATCCCCTGACCTCAACCCAATTGAGATGGTTTGGGATGAGTCGGACGGCAGAGTGAAGGAAAAGCAGCCAACAAGTGCTCAGCATATGTGGGAACTCCTTCAAGACTGTTGGAAAAGCATTCCAGGTGAAGCTGGTTAAGAGAATGCCAAGAGTGTGCAAAGCTGTCACCAAGGCAAAGGGTGGCTATTTGAAGATCTCAAATTTAAAATGTATTTTGATTTGTTTAACACTTTTTTGGTTACTATATGATTCCATATGTGTTATTTCATCGTTTTGATGTCTTCACTATTATTCTACAATGTAGAGAATAGTAAAAATAAAGAAAAACCCTTGAATGAGTAGGTGTGTCCAAACCTTTGACTGGTAGTGTATGTACAGTATGTATGTATGAATGTATGTGTGTGTGTTACCTGCATTGGCGCTGATGAGCTGCAGGACAAGGGGCCTGCGGGTGACGATCCCAGAGCCTCTGGGCAGGAAGTCCCTGCAGACAGACAGCCAATCAAGACAGTTATACAGAGAGACAGCTAGGGCTGTGATGATTATGGACGTTTGGGAAACGATTAATTATCATGCAAATAGCCTCGGTTATTGTCATAATTGTCATTTTTGTTTTTAAAATGTTTTAAGCTTGTAATGCATCATAATGCATACAACCTAATGAATACAACACAGCTTTGGTGACACCCCTGTCATTTGGAACTGTTGGAAATGAAGCTTCTCCTCCCGACCATGCTGTTCTGCTCGTAAAATGATTCCCAACTTTACCCACGTTATATAAAAATGAAAAACTGCTATAGGGTAAACTATATCTATTTGAATATAAAGTTGGATCCCGCCTACTCCTAAAATGAATATTAAGATGATTATGACAATAATGTTTTTTTGTTCACAGTTATTGTCCATAATTGTATGTTACATGATTATACGATAATTGTGCCAACCCTAGAGACAGCCAATCTGGATAGCTACACAGAGGGACAGCCAATCAGGACAGTTACACAGAGGGACAGACAATCAGGAAAGTTACAAAGAGAGGAGGTGAGTTTAAATTTAACCTTGTGAATGTGACAATAAGATGGTGTCTGGCTATGGGAGACTAGGTTAAAGGTGACAGTACTGTGGGAGACTGAGGCCTTGTGAACCCTAGGCCAACCACCAACAGACACTAACTGCCATGATGTAAAATGACTCACACATACTGAACACACACAACCAACCACATAACGTAGAATGAATTAAATCACACAGCACACAACCAAAGAGAGTCTCTTCTTTGTTAATGACAGAGGAAGAGATTTGATAACATCAATAGAAAAATATGTTGATCTGAAAATGTCATCAGGCTCTTTGGTCAATCCAACTGATTATACAGTCCAGTTTACCCTCTGAGCCACCTGAATACACCCTGATTCGCTTAGCTGATGCTGATTAAATAAAATAGTTAATGCACAAGAGGTCAACATGAACAGCTTGCAAAGCAGCAGGTAGCAGAGCAATCATTTAACGTTTTTTTTTTATCGCTTTGGTGCCATTTTCATAAGTATGTGGTACATTTTCACAACTCTTAGTACAAAACTCAAAACAGATCATCGAAAAGGCAGTTGTTTCAAAGCTCTAACCACATTTTCAATTGACTAAGTACAACACACAAAATCATAGTCTCTTTTTCACCAAACTTAATCAGTGTTTCATCTAGAAATACAGGGCCTTCGGAAAGTATTCAGACCCCTTGACTTTTTCCACATTTTGTTACGTTACAGCCTTATTCTAAAATTGATTAAATAAAAAAATGTCCTCAGCAATCCACACACAATACCCCATAATGACAAAGCAAAAACGTATTTACATAAGTATTTTGCTACCCTTTGCTATGAGACTCGAAGTTGAGCTCTGGTGCATCCTGTTTCCATTGATCATCCTTGATGATCATTGGACATGATTTGGAAAGGCACACAACTGTCTATATAAGGTCCCACCATTGACAGTGCATGTCAGAGCAAAAACCAAACCATGAGGCCGAAGCAATTGTCCGTATAGCTCCGAGACAGGATTGTGTCGAGGCACAGATCTGGGGAAGGGTACGAAAACATTTCTGCAGCATTGAAGGTCCCCAAGAACACAGTTGGCGCCATCATTCTTAAATGGACGAAGTGTGGAACTGATAAAGAAATGTGTGAGTAAGATATGACAAAAATGTCACACCCTCAGTTAAACTAAAAATGTATGACTAATTAGTAGACTAGAGCTTAGAGAGTTAATCAAATGTGTTTATATCCCAGCAACAGAGTATTTGTGTTTTGTAATTAGGCAAGCAGAAGTGCAAAACGATTGAAACCAATAACAGGAGACTGGTTCCAAAAACACACAGGGAAAGGGGAGTGAAAAGGCTTGCAGGATATTGTGAGGACAGCGATAACTAAAAAAATGCAGCCTACCCGAGCAAGGAGTAGACTATGATAAGAACATGTGTGTGTGTGTGTGTGTGTGTGTGTGTGTGTGTGTGTGTGTGTGTGTGTGTGTGTGACCTGATGGTCAGGAGAGCAGAGGAAAATCACATGAGCTAAACCCAGGTGTGAGCTTACAAGATGTGTACGGTGGAAAAATACAGCCCGCCTAAAGCGGGGTGGGGTTTTTCCTCTGACGTGTGTATAAAAACATTGTACGACCATTTTGTTGCAGAGCGCTCTCAATGAATAAAGGCTGACCATTGCAGGATTGGGTCTTTGTTTAATTAAAATCTGGGAATTATTCAAAGATTTAAGAAGAGTTTGACATCAACCATTGAGATAACAAAATTCTCGCGACAGCTTGATCCTTCGAGCCGGATATCAATATCCGTCTTCTATCATTCCGGGGGACACCGAAAACCGTGCACGGGCGGATGATACATCCGTATAGACAAAGACCTGCCCTCTGAGATTGGGGGTTCAAATACAGGCCGGTGACAACCTGGAAACGACAGAAACTGTGACGATAAATTCAATATATGCTGGTCAACTACGATATGTGTTTGGTGTTACTTGTAGCCTACTTAGAAAGGACAGTTGCCTAGATCTGCTGTATTCTGTTCAAAAAAATTTTATTGAACACACACAAGAATGGTGTATAGGTATGAAAGACATGTGTACAGTTCTTATCTAAACATAAGAGAACAGACATGAACAATAAGACCCAGAGTTCTGGACACAAAACAAATATTACAAAACACGACATACAGAACAGGGATATCTGCTGTATTCTAAAAAATGACGGATTGGGGGGTTTCATAAGAGGTGGCTATAATTTTAGTTGATAACAGAGGTAATAGGATGTAGTTTACGATGCCTAGAGAAGCGAATGTCTTATATTCATGGAAAGTGAAGTAAGGGAACTCAGAAAGGATTATTAAACAAACACTAAGAATAATGAAGCAGTGTTGGAAGGAAGCAGAGTATGTAAGATAACATTGACTGACTGGTCTAATTGATAAGTTTATATGAAAGAGATTGTCCTAGCACCACATAGCGGTTAGTATAACAGAGTAGTTTAAGTGCATCTCTGGGAATAGATGTTTTGTTTGTTTTGACTATAACTAAAAAATAATTGGTTATCTGTTAAAGTAATGTTAGATGGAAAGACAGCGGTAGAGGATAGAGATTGTACAGGATTTCCTGCGTTAAAAAAAGGTAATAGAAATTGGGTGATGAGAAATGTTGAATTGCATTGTTTAAGCAAGAATGGTATTAAATTCATGCTTTCTAGTTATGGGTATGCAAGTTGTATTCGTTTTTGGTGGTGTGCGGATAGAATTGACTAATGCCAGGATTTAGTAAATGAAGCAGAGGGTAATGTGAAGCGGATGTCTGAATAGTTTGTTTATACAACAGTGAGTTATGCAGACAGTTCACGTTGAACAATGGGAGATCGTTTTTACTATTACGCTGATGGCGTAGTAAACATTTTTTGTAGGTTCTGGATTTATTAAACAATAGGTTTATATTTTAATAAATTAATGCAACAGGTTTAAATCAGTAGATTACCGGAAAGTGGTTATGGGTTTGTTATTTATAGGTTTAGTGAATGTAATAAAACGTGGAGTTATCCGATGTGTTCTGAGGGGGAGTTTTTTTATTTATTTCCCAGGATTGAGGGAAATCCCCTACAGTATATGTTAAGGGACAGTAGGAGACAACGTATCAAACATTTTTTTTTATAGATGCCTGGGAACAAAATATCACTGCTTACTTACACGAAGTAAGGGATTATATTGGCAAATTAGTGAAATATGACATTAAGAAGGGTGACAGAAAGAATATACGGGGAAACAGATATTTCCTATGTTCTTGATTACATTTTGCATTTTGGTCATTTAGCAGACGCTATTGTCCGGAGCGACTTACAGTTAGTGAGTGCATACATTTTCATACTGTAAAGAAGACAGGATAAAGAATTGAACATGTGGAAAAAAGAAAGAGCAATCCTACGAGATAATGTCTGGCATAAAGATTTTTTTTTAATTTGATTAAAGTCACCGTTTTGATATGCAGAAATATTGACACATGGGTAAAGTCATGTGTCAATAGGGGGGATGGTAGAGCAGGTTAGGAAAAACTTTGGTAGAGCAGGAACAGGTTAGGAAACACTTAGGAAACACTTGGCCTATGGTATAACAAACTACTAAAAAAAAATTTTTTGTTACAGATGTGTCATCTGTGCACAGAATAATCACCAAGGTAGAGAGAGCACCCCAGGGGGAATATCCCCTGGCAAAATATCCAGTCCATCAATTGGAAATTGATTTTATAGAGTTATCACGGAGTGAAGGGAAGAAATTGGGTACAATGCCTACCAATAGTGTTGATCACCATTAGAGTAACCCCAGATAAAGATGGGTTATCCCCCTTCGAGAAGGTATTTGGGAGACCATACAGAATGCCCAAGTTAGGTAGACTAGAACAGGCAGACATAGAGGCAGAAGACACATTGGCAGAACATATGAGGAGACTGTTCGTTAACCAAATCCGTATGTCAAAGATTTTGTGTCCCACAGGAGAACTAAAGGAGAAGGTAACCCACTCTATCCAACCAGGTGACTGGGTGTGGATCCAATCCTTAAAGAAGAAAGACTGGAAGCAGCCCCGCTGGGAGGGACCATACCAAGTCCTATTGGTAACTGCCTTCGCTGTAAGAATAGCTGAGAGAGCCACTTGGGTCCACGTTACCCACTGCAAAAAGGTACGCCCACATACCAGCACCGTTGAACACACACAGAGTTAAAGAGAAGAACTGACCCACTAGGGTTCGGGGGTAAACTCTGTTAACAAAGAAACCCTACCCTGACCTTTCATCACTGTGGGGTGTTCCTAGAGGTGTGGGTATGGGGAAGTACCAGGCAGGTGGGTCAGGGACAGGATTGGGATGGTGGTTTTGGGGATTTTGGGGGACTCTGAGCTGCATCATCGTGTTAACCATATTATGGATTTATCCAGGTCAACCTAAACAGGGAAATGATGAACAAAATAATACCAAGGCACTGATTCGATCTCGTAGAAATACTGAAACCAAGAAAGACTATTGGGGAAAGGATTATTTTATAGTTAAAGTCAGGTTAGGACAAGATGGGGGATTCAAAGTACCATTCAACTTCTCCCATGAAGAGTTAGGAGGTTTTGGGGGCATTGGTAAGAGGGGGGCGTGTACAAGAAAGTAAGGTCCTAGAAGGTATGGTAAATACATTTGCACTGGGGATAGCATATGTCCTTGGGCAAAGGTGTTTAAACATACCTGGGGAACATACTATGAGAATGGGATGGACGCAGCACACCGATGGGGAATTAAACAAACCCATGATAAATGTAAAACGGAACTGGTGATAACGGTAAAGTCAATTATGCAAGATGACATAGCAAGGAACTATTGGGTCTGTGTTGATGATGTCGGGGCAAATACATGTGTGAGGCTCATTTTTCAGGAGAGAAATTAATCTTCCACCACTGGGACAGAACAGCAGGTAGATCCAATGTTATCACCAGAGGTATAAAAAAAAAAAACCTTTGGAAGGCCCTCAGAAGGAATCGTAAATAGCACTAAACCAGCAAGGGTAGAACATTTCCTCATGCAGGAAATGAACCAAGGAGAAGTAGAAGGAATTTCAAAAGAGAACTTCTGGGTAAAGTGGATGAACTACACAGCTAGGGCGTTGGGTCAAAACTATGCCTGTTCAACAGGTAGGCCAACCCTTTTAACTGCACCTATGCCTCAGACCATGTTCTCTTGTGTGATAGATTTGGGATCAAACCAAACCTCACCTAATTGTTCTGATATTAAAATATCCGCTCTTAAAAAAGAGAATGTTAAGCCACCCCAATTCACCATGACCCCCGGAGATTATCAATGTTATAGACACCAAAGTAATGCGAATCGCAGATCAAATTGGAGAAGGGTTTACAACAACGTTTTTCTGGTGGGTTACAATTAATAAAAATGTTGACTGGATTAATTACATCTATTACAATCAACAAAGGTTCATTAATCAGACAAGGGATGCAGTAAAGGGAATCTCAGACCAACTATCCGCCACCTCACTCATGACCTGGCAGAATAGGTTGGCTCTCGATATGCTTTTAGCAGAGAAGGGCGGGATTTGCAAGATGGTGGGAGGTCGTTGTTGTACGTTTATCCCCAACAATACAGCCCCAGATGGTACAGTAACTAGAGCACGGGCAGGTCTCACTGCATTGAGTGAAGAATGGGCTGAGAACAGGGGGGTGAATACATCATTGACTGGATGGGTTGATAACATGTTTGGAAAATGGAAAGCTATTGTTGCAACTATTCTGGGTGCAGCTATAGCTTGTATGGGTATGCTTGTTCTTTGTGGATGTTGTCTTATTCCCTGTGTCTGAGGGTTGGTGAGCAAGGCATTGGAGAATGCAGTAGCCCAGCAGACAGAGAGCTATGGGCCCATCCCCTACTCAGACCGATTGAACGACGACCTATTTCCTCCCGCTCTAGTGGACGATGCAGAAGATTTTAACCCTGATAAACCTGAATTGGATGAGACAATTTTTGATGTTTAGTATACTATCTTTGTTTTTCAGCGGCAGGGAGACTAGTCAGGATTGAGGGAAAGATGAACAGAGCAAAGTACAGAGAGATCCTTGATAAAAACCTGCTCCAGAGCGCTCAGGACCTCAGACTGGGGTGAAGGTTCACCTTCCAACAGGACAACAACCCTAAGCACACAGCCAAGACACTGCAGGAGTGGCTTTGGGACAAGTCTCTGAATGTCCTTGAGTGGCCCAGCCAGAGCCTGGACTTGAACCCGATCTAACATTTCTGGAGAGACCTGAAAATAGCTGTGCAGCTCTGTCCAACCTGACAGAGCTTGATTGGATCTGCAGAGAAGAATGGAAGAAATTCCCCAAATACAGGTGTGCCAAGCTTGTAGCATCATACCCAAGAAGACTCAATGCTGTAATCGCTGCCAAAGGTGCTTCAACAAAGTACTGAGGAAAGAGTCTGAATACTTACGCAAATTTAATATTTCATTTTTTCAACAAAAAAAAAATATTAGCAAAATGCATAGGAAATGTAGTCATTGACAAGGTTTGAAATAATTATTTTTAATAGAAATAATAATTGTGTCCTTCAAACTTTCCTTTCGTCAAATAATCCTCAATTTGCAGCAATTACAGCATTGCAAACCTTTGGCATTCTAGTTGTCAATTTGTTGAGGTAATCTGAAGAGATTTCACCCCATGCTTCCTGAAGCACCTCCCACAAGTTGGATTGGCTTGATGGGCACTTCTTACATATCATACGGTCAAGCTGCTCCCACAACAGCTCAATAGGTTTGAGATCCGGTGACTGTGCTGGCCACTCCATTATAGACAGAATACCAGCTGACTGCTTCGTCCCTAAATAGTTATTGCATAGTTTGGAGCTGTGCTTTGGGTCATTGTCCTGTTGTAGGAGGAAATTGGCTCCAATCAAGCGCCGTCCACAGGGTATGGCATGGCATTGCAAAATGGAGTGATAGCCTTCCTTCTTCAAGATCCCTTTTACCCTGTACAAATCTCCCACTTTACCACCACCAAAGCACCCCCAGACCATCACATTGCCTCCACCATTCTTGACAGATGGCATCAAGCACTCCTCCAGCATCTTTTCGTTTGGTCTGCGTCTCACAAATGTTCTTCTTTGTGATCCGAACACCTCAAACTTCGATTCGTCTATCCATAACACTTTTTTCCAATTTTCCTCTGTCCAGTGTCTGTGTTCTTTTGCCCATCTTAATCTTTTATTTTTATTGGCCAGTCTGAGATATGGCTTTTTCTTTGCAACTCTGCCTAGAAGGTCAGCATCCCGGAGTCGCCTCTTCACTGTTGACGTTGAGACTGGTGTTTTGCGAGTAGTATTTAATGAAGCTGCCAGTTGAGGACCTGTGAGGCATATGTTTCTCAAACTAGACACTCTAATGTATTTGTCCTCTTGCTCAGTTGGCAACCGGGGCCTCCCACTCCTCTTTCTATTCTGGTTAGAGCCAGTTTGCGCTGTTCTGCGAAGGGAGTAGTACACAGCATTCTACGAGATCTTCAGTTTCTTGGCAATTTCTCGCATGGAATAGCCATAATTTCTCAGAACAAGAATAGACTGACGAGTTTTAGAAGAAAGTTATTTGTTTCTGGCCATTTTGATCCTGTAATCGTACCCACAATTGCTGATGCTCCAGATTCTCAACTAGTCTCAAGAAGTTGTATTGCTTCTTTAATCAGCACAACAGTTTTCAGTTGTGCTAACATAATTGCAAAAGGGTTTTCTAATTATCAATTAGCCTTTCAAAACGATAAACTTGGATTAGGAAACACAACGTGCCATTGGAACACAGGACTGATGGTTGCTGATAATGGGCCTCTGTACGCCTATGTAGATACTCCATTAAAAATCAGCCGTTTCCAGCTACAATAGCCATTTACAACATTAACAATTTCTACACTGTATTTCTGATCAATTTGATGTTATTGTAATGGACAAAAAACATTTTAATTTCTAAGTGACCCCAAACTTTTGAACAGTAGTGTATATACCCGAATGTACTACTATGATGATGACTATTATGATTTTACTTCAAAGTACTTTTTTAATCGACAAGATCAGAGATGTACTGTATGTAACAAATCCAATCAAAGTTTATTGGTCGCATACACAGATTAGCAGATGTTACAGCAGGTGCATCAAAATGTTTGTGTTTCTAGCTCCTGAAGTGCAGTAATACAATATCAATACAATACGAATACGCAAATAATCCAGAAAGTCCAAAACAAGAAATAAATGCATTCCCTATACAGTAAACATGTATCCAAAATGAAGCTACAGTACTTTACTAAAATTGCATTGGCCAATACAGTACTGTAATACCGTAATATATGCCATTTACGTAGCAGACGCTGTTATCCAAAGTGACACACATTTTGGTATGTGACCCCAGTGGAAATCGAACCCACAACTCTGGCTAGTGCCATGCTCTTATGAACTAAGCCACATACAGGACCACTACAATACGCATAATACAATACTGTAAAATAAACACCAAACATGTTTGCTTATTTTTTTCTTTAAGCAATGGCTTTTTTCTGGCCACGCTTCCGTAAAGCCCAGGTCTGTGTAGTGTACGGCTTAAAGTGGTCCTATGGACAGATACTCCAATCTCCGCTGTGGCTTTGCAGCTCCTTCAGGGTTATCTTTGGTCTCTTTGTTGCCTCTCTGATTAATGCCCTCCTTGCCTGGTCCGTGAGTTTTGGTGGGCGGCCCTCTCTTGGCAGGTTTGTTGTGGTGCCATATTTTTCAATTTTTTAATAATGGATTTAATGGTGCTCCGTGGGATGTTCAAAGTTTCTGATATTTTTTTATAACCCAACCCTGATCTGTACTTCTCCACAACTTTGTCCCTGACCTGTTTGGAGAGCTCCTTGGTCTTCATGGTGCCGCTTGCTTGGTGGTGCCCCTTTCTTAGTGGTGTTGCAGACTCTGGGGCCTTTCAGAACAGGTGTATATATACTGAGATCATGTGACAGATCATGTGACACTTAGATTGCACACAGACTTTATTTAACTAATTATGTGACTTCTGAAGGTAATTGGTTGCACCAGATCTTATTTAGGGGCTTCATAGCAAAGGGGGTGAATACATATGCATGCACCACTTTTCCGTTATTTATTTTGTATAATTCTTTGAAACAAGTAATTTTTTTCATTCCACTTCACCAAGTTGGACTATTTTGTGTATGTCAATTACATGAAATCAAAATCAAAATCAATTTAAATTACAGGTTGTAATGCAACAAAATAGGAAAAACGCCAAGGGGGATGAATACTTTTGCAAGGCACTGTACATACCAGTCTGCTACCAGACGAGAGAGAGATTGCGTGTGTGTGTGTGTTTGTGTGCGACCGTTGGCTCATGTGTTTGCATGCCACGTGTCTACATGTATGTTTAGGACACTTGTCATTTCTCATCACACAGTTGAACGCTACAATCCTGACGCGATTGAAACAACGGCTAGGCTAGATGAATATTGATCATGAGATCTCCCTCTATCTATGGACTAGCAGAAAAGATGAGTCAGAACCCTGCTGTCCATTCAGCAGCGGTGTGGGTGGTGTGGGGGAGCCAACCC